TATATACATTATATTTTTTTTCTTTTTTTTGTTGTTTGTTTATTTTCTTGCAAATAGCCATAGTCTCTTTGTTTCTTAGCTCCGTCTATTTTAAGATTTGTTGTTGCTATTAAATAAAACTATACTAATTTTGGTCATTTATGAGTAAAAATGCAGCTGATTTCAGTTATCTACATTTTGTCCGTATATTTTCCTAAATGAGGCTGTTTCTCTTGTTATTCCTGCAGTACTTGTTGTGCTTTGTAAGTCCTCATAAATCAGATTATCAGATTAACATATGTGTGAGATATAGAAGGTGAAAGTAAGGGCAGACTCACCTCTATTGTCGATTTGGGAAAGGATTTTGGTAGTTTTTTTTAAATGTTTGGGTTAATGTCTTATGTTTTCCTTCCATCTTTAAATGTGACATATTTCTCTGGTGGTTTTGTCAGAAGGAGAGATTTGTCTGTTTTAACGTGTTTAACTCAAATGCTGTTATATTAAAATTGTTTTCATGTAAAGGTAACAAGCAAAATTTTTTACTGTAGTGCTTTTTCAAATGTAAAAAAAACAAAACAAAACAAAACAAAAAAACATTTATTTCAGATTAATGGGCCCATGTTACGCTATTTTCTGATTTGTTATAATGTTGTTTCCTCTTAAAAATGTCCCTGGAATTGTGTTTTGTTTCATTCACATGTTTAACACACAAACCCTGCACATTTATCAAATCAAATCAAATCAAATCAAACTTTATTGATAGAGCACTTTTCATTCAAAAATGCAACACAAAGCTGAGTTTAGGCTAAGTTCTTTTCTCAAACTGAAAACACTCTGCTCCACCTTGTGATTAGGGCTGGGTATCATTAAAAAGCTGCTGATACAATACATATCTCGATACAGTGCACTTTCGGTTTGATACGATATATTTCAAATTGAGTTTTTGTTAATCCGTGTGTCATTCGTTCATTCGTATTTTCAATATAAAACCAAAAATAAGAACATTTAAAAACAACAATTTTCTTCATTATTTGTCTCCAAAACCAAAATGAAAAAACGTAACGATTTGTTTTTTCATTTTTTGATTTTGTGTTTAAATGAATAATGGAAAAAGCGGATAGAGGCTGTTCCCGTAAACTTCAATGCCGGACTGAACCAGGACTGAACCAGGACTGAAACAGGACTAAACCTGGACTAAAAAAAAAGGTCGAATTCGGTCTTAGTCCTAGTTTCAATCCCAGTCCTGGTCCTGGTCTGGTCCCGGGTTTCAGTCCTAAACCAGGACTAAACCAGAACTGAACCCAGAACTGAACCAGGACTAAACCAGGACTGAACCAGGAGTGTCAAGACTGACCCGGACGTGTGCTCACGTAGACTGTCAGGTGATCAGGAAACCGGGACCAGACTGGGACTGAGACCTGGTTTACTCCTAGTTCAGTTCTGGTTTAGAGCTGGTTTAGACCTGTTCAGTCCTGTTTTAGTCCTGGTTCAGTCCGTATGTGGCGCAAAAATTCGGCATCGCAGTTTAAGTCACGGAAACGGGAAACGGCCGTTATCCGTTTTTTCCATTATTCATTTAAACACAAAACTGAAAAGTGAAAAACAAATCATTATCTTCTTTTTTTCATTTTGGTTTTGGAGACAAATAATGAATAGAACAGTTGTTTTTTTCATTTTCTTATTTTTGGTTTTATATTGAAAAACAAATGAACGAATGATTTCAATCAAACATTTTAATCATCAAAATAGTGAAAATGTCAAATGTGTTGCATAAACGAGTTTCCTTCCACTAAACAAACAACAAAACTGTAGCTGTAACAAAATAATTTAGTAAAATATACCAAAAAATACTCTTGGTGATATATCGATACAGCAGCCCACGATATTGATACTGTATCATCACTTTAAACCATACGATATATCGATATTTTGACATTTTTGCAGAGCCCTAATTGCAATGTTATAGTGATACAGGAAGTGCTCCACTGTGTTTCTAAATTTCATACACCTTTACTAGAATAATTTGAATTATTTCAGCCCTAGAATTACCAATCTTTACTGAACTAAAGGTAAAAGGTACGATCATTGTGTGCGAGATAAAGGGTTACTCAAATATGTGAATGGAAGAAAACACAACTCCAGGTATGTTTTTGATAAGATTAAAGCTCCCAAGAGTCAAATTTGTGCAATATAGGACCTTCAATAACACAGCTAATACATAGTACCAGTGATCAAAATATTTCTTCTTGCAGTAGCTGTACCACTAAAACTTGACAACCTTCCGTAGTACTGCAACGGCCCTTAAATTCCTGCTAAAAAATTGATGAAACTGGCTTAAAGTTTCCTATAGCTCGATCTCTATGTGTCCCTCTGTCTTCTCAAACCAGCTTTTTTCTGCTCCTTTTTACATTGCACTTTCAGAAGAAGCAGCATGTAGGTATCTGGTCTCCCAACTCAAGACCCTCTCTGGCTGCATGACTCATCCCCCTCTCTCTCTCCCTTCTTCTCTCCCTCCTTCTCTTCTTTCTTTCTTTCTTTCTCTCTCTTTGATTTTTTATAACTTTTTTGGATTCTCCTCATGTTTGGATGGTTTCACAAAAGCGCTCTACATTGATCAAGCTGTAAATATGTTTTTACGTGAGTCTGATGCTGCTGGATGATTTTTACAGAAGGAATTACTGTATTTCTGAGCAATAGAAACACTCATAATGAATAAATTGTATATGGATGTGTTTAATGTCATACTGTGGAACATTCCAGGCAAAGCAGTAATGGACCCTCCACCAGAAAAGCTGTGGTGCGCCTTCATTCCTAACTCCTAACGTTAAAGGGACAGTTCAGAATTTTGCACATAGGACGTCATTTCCTAATGAGTCAGAGTGTTGGAGATGTGTGGAGACACTTTTTTAAATATTCCATCCAGTCCTTGTATTTGCAGAGGTCGCTGGTGCTAGGCTAGTGCATGTCAATGGCCATAGTTATCCTGCCACTAAAAACAGTCTTACCCACTCCACAAAACACCCAAAACAAATCTGTTATTACACCAGACTGTCCATGTAATTGTCTGTGTTGATAAAATAATGTTTGAAATAAAACTAACCTTGCATCACATGAAGCGTCGCTTGTTGAGGGACTATTTTCTCATATATCAGTCCGCCGCTGCCAAGCTTTCTCTCAGGATCTCTCTGCTGCTGCTCAGACATAAATCCTTCTAATGCAAGGTTGGTTTTACTTCTAAAATTATTCTATCAACACAGACATTCACATTGACAGTCTGGTGTAATAATAGATTTGTTTCGGGTGTTTTGTGGAGTGGGTAAGACTGTTTTTAGTGGCATAATAACTATGGCCATTGACATGCACTAGCCTAGCACCAGCGACCTATGCAAATTCAAGGACTGGATGGATTATTTTAAAAAGTGTCTCCACACGTCTCCAACACTCTGGCTCACTAGGAAATGAGGCCCTATGTCCAAAATTCTGGACTGTCCCGTAACCTCTTAATTAAGTAGCGACAAATTAAGAGAAATCATTCTTAAACTATTTGTTCATTATGAGTTTTTTTGTTCTGATATTATAAAATGTTGCCAAATAATTTCATTTTTAGTAGTGAATCTGTGTGTAAAAGCTTGACTACAGTCCGTCAATGGATGATCAAGCCTCCAGTGATTATCTGGTGGCCTCAGTGAACTTGCCGTCAAACATTTAAGTATTAAAGTGTATCATTTGTTCAGCACGGTGACAGAAAAATGACCACCTGACTTTACATAATCAAAACTAAGACAAGATACTCATCTGAACTATTTGACTACTTCAACAATAAAAAAAAAGCTTGTCAGATACTAAAATCACCTCTATAAGCACTGGTTCCCGAAGTAAATTTTCCTTTGCTTTTTCCCATAGACTTTTCAAAAAAATATTAAGTGTTCAAAGACATAGTTGAGGCTAACCAGACACATGCTAACTGATAATCAATAATGTTGTTTTAAATCCAAAAAGCACATTTAAAACACAGGATTTAATAACTTTTTATAAATACATTTTAAATTAAATTACAGGTTTTGTTAGCCTGATTCATCAGCCAGTTTCACTTTGTAAAAACCGTCTGACCTCACAGTGTTAGATTTCGTTCAGTTGACGGTAGGTGGGTACTTTTTAAAATTTAACCAATCGCTGCTATTTGGTCGTGACATATGTAATGCGCCGCTAACGGGGCTAACTGGTATATTAAACTTTTCCCAAATTCCGTAGGAAGAAGGGCAATAACGTCTTTCCCCTTGATAAAATTCACTAAACATTCTCTTTGTTCCAGCTTTAAATCCTCGATCTCGGAAATCTTTGACAACACAGAATGTATGGCTCTTCGGTGATTGGCCGGTGCCTGGACACACACTTCCGGGGCTTTTTAGTGTATTCCGATTTCTGACCTAGTCGCTGGAGAGAAATGAAATTGAGCGGAAGCACTAGGTGGCACCAGCTTGGCTAAGGTTTTGTAGTCAGTAGTTACGACATAGCTGATCAGCCCTGAGCAAACTTTCAAACTTTTAATATACATTTTTTTCAGAAAGTCTATGGGGGAAAAAATTATGAGAAATTTACTTTTAGAGCCAGTGTGTGTCAATATTTCTTCTCCAAAAGTTGACATTGTAGCATCAGACTTAAAAATCATGACAAATTATAATGAGAAAGATTCATTCATAGCCTGTAGTTCACCATACTAGGACGCTTGTGTGAAACCATCCCTTTGACCTGTTACGATAAACTAAATGTGTAGCTGTTTAGTAGTTGTTTGCCCCCACTAATATGAAATCTTCGGTATAATTTGATTTTTTTTTTTTTTTATCATCTTTTCATCTCTTGTCTCAAGTTTTTGTGTTTCATCTCGTCAATGTGGCTGCATGGTCTGTCCAGCACGCCCTTCGTCTGTAGAAATAATAACTTACAATTTAATTTTATCTTTTTAATCTCATATTATTAACGATTAAACTTAATTTCTTTTGTATGCTTGTTTGATATTACAGGGGAGGTACTGTTTCAGATGGCAGAAGTTCACCGTCAGATCCAAATTCAACTGGAAGAAATGGTAAGTGGGAAATTAGATCGAAATCATTTAGTCAAATTACAAAGAAGTACTGTACAAAATGTAAGATACTCACAGATAACACAGAGCTAAACTGGACTGGAGCTGCTGATATGTTCCAGCATAGAACTTTAATAAAATCCATGTGTTCCACCTGCATTAAACCAAACTCCTCACTGAATCACACAAAAACAGTCACTGATAAAAACCCTCAATGTCATCTGTACTCACAGACAAATCAAACACTTTTAACCAAGGCTCTATAATTAATGAGTAAATAATACCACAATTTATTAAAATTCTGAAAAAATAAAAATAAAATAGGTTTAAACTAAAAGTAATAGTGAACTAATAATGGGTTAAATACAGAATTTAAATTTATATCAGCACAAAAGGAAATCTATCCGGACTGTCCAATCTGGGGTTCGGGACAGTTTTTGGACGGTCCCCAAAAAAGTTACCGTATTTTTCAGTCGCTGCGGAGTATAAATCACACCAGCCAAAAAATGTGCAATGAAGAAGAAAAAAGTTAGAATTTTTCCAGCCTTTCTGAATCCCGACAGGATGGTTTCGGTGTTATTGAATTCCAGGGTTTGTCAATCCATCCAGTGACTTCCAGGAAAGTTGCATGATGCACCCTCCCAGTTACCGTGAAGCTGTGTTCTCCATCCCCGCTTTCCGCCAGTCCCTCACAAGTTTCTCGCTCACTTCAAACTTTCTTTTTGCTGCTTGAGTACTGTTTTTGGCTGAATATTTCACTAGTTGCAGCAGGACAGAGGCTGTTTCTGCAGGAGACATGCACAGTAGAGTGTAGTGACAGTGGTACAGGAGTAACAGGAGTCTAGAGCTCCCTCTTGTGTCTGTCACTGTGAATATTTTAATATATAAGTCGCACTGGAGTATAAGTCGCAGGAAACACCCAAACCATGAAAAAAGTGCTACTTATAGTCCAGAACTTACGGTAGTATGGAGCCCTGTTTAAAACTATTTAAGTGTGAATTCAGTGTTCGGCTTTCTCATTACACAAATACTTTGATTAGATTAGAAAATAAGTGTTGAAAAAATTGTACTTAATTTGTTTATATTTGTGTTATTCTCTTGTTTTAGACTAATTAATTGTTGTACTATTCTGGAAAACCTCCAAATTAAAAAGTTGTAATGAAAATCTCAGAATAGTTTTGGCAGTGGAGAAACAAAATTATACCTTTTACAAACCAGCAGTTTCATTTGTATGTTATTCCAATGTTCACAGCTCATTTTCCATTTGAAGTACTCATATGAAATTGAAATACAGAATAAAAAAAATCCATCTTCTATCATGGATTACAGGCTTAGAAAAACATGTATTCTTAGCTCAAAGCTTAATGTCAAATCTGAAGTACTTTGAATAGAGGAATCCTTTTAGTCTGTCATTGAGTTGTCTTCACCGTACTTCAGTTCTGACCTTTTCCTAACCCTTTTTCTTATCTCAACAAAAACATCCCACACAAATCCACTGGTTTTCAACACGAGGGAGATGCTTTAAAGGTGCATTGCGCAACTTTTCTTGTCTCCGTGGAGATGTTATTGCTTTGTCCAGAATGTTCCACAGTAGTAGAGAGACAAACATTTTCACAGAGAGAGTCATTTTATTTTTGAGCCACACAAACACCCGTAATGAATAAATGCCAGAGGGATGTGTTTAATGTCATACTACGGAACATTCCAGGCGAAGCAATAACATCTCCATGGAGACAAGCAGGTGACGGACACTGGAAAAGATGCGTAATCCACCTTTAAAATTCCCCGTTTTCAGTCAGTTTAGAAACTATTTGGTGATCTTATGAAATTTGTAATGTATTTATTTATTTATTTTATTTATTTATTTTTATTTTCCAGCTCAAATCATTTCATAATGAGCTTCTGACCGAACTGGAGAAGAAAGTGGAGTTGGACGCTCGATACCTGAATGTAAGTTATTTATTTATTTTATTATATAACAACTTACTGCATGCGTTATTTGACCTGCTTACATAAAGTTTAAATGTTGGTATAGATCTAACGTTATCTCTATAGGAAGTACACAAATACGTTTTAAAGGTACACTGTGTAGCTTTTCTGATGGAGGGGTCCATGGAGACAAGCAGGTGACACTACCAGGCTAAGTTACAGGTCAGATCTGTGGAGATGTGGCCCCACTCCTAGTAAGCAGGTCTTTGGAAGCAAAAACTATTAGTATTATTAGTAGTACTAGTGATAGTGTAGTGGTGGTAGTAGTAGTAGTAGTAGTAGTAGTAGTAGTAGTAGTAGTAGTAGTAGTAGTAGTAGTAGTAGTAGTAGTAGTAGTAGTAGTAGTAGTAGTAGTAGTAGTAGTAGTAGTAGTAGTAGTAGTAGTAGTAGTAGTAGTAGTAGTAGTAGTAGTAGTAGTAGTAGTAGTAGTAGTAGTAGTAGTAGTAGTAGTAGTAGTAGTAGTAGTAGTAGTAGTAGTAGTAGTAGTAGTAGTAGTAGTAGTAGTAGTAGTAGTAGTAGTAGTAGTAGTAGTAGTAGTAGTAGTAGTAGTAGTAGTAGTAGTAGTAGTAGTAGTAGTAGTAGTAGTAGTAGTAGTAGTAGTAGTAGTAGTAGTAGTAGTAGTAGTAGTAGTAGTAGTAGTAGTAGTAGTAGTAGTAGTAGTAGTAGTAGTAGTAGTAGTAGTAGTAGTAGTAGTAGTAGTAGTAGTAGTAGTAGTAGTAGTAGTAGTAGTAGTAGTAGTAGTAGTAGTAGTAGTAGTAGTAGTAGTAGTAGTAGTAGTAGTAGTAGTAGTAGTAGTAGTAGTAGTAGTAGTAGTAGTAGTAGTAGTAGTAGTAGTAGTAGTAGTAGTAGTAGTAGTAGTAGTAGTAGTAGTAGTAGTAGTAGTAGTAGTAGTAGTGTAGTAGTAGTAGTAGTAGTGTAGTAGTAGTAGTAGTAGTAGTAGTAGTAGTAGTAGTAGTAGTAGTAGTAGTAGTAGTAGTAGTAGTAGTAGTAGTAGTAGTAGTAGTAGTAGTAGTAGTAGTAGTAGTGTAGTAGTAGTAGTGTAGTAGTAGTAGTAGTAGTAGTAGTAGTAGTAGTAGTAGTAGTAGTAGTAGTAGTAGAAGTAAAAGTAGTAGTGATAGTGGTAGCAGTAGTCACAGTAGTAGTCACAGTATTAGTAGTAGTCGTGATAGTGGTAGAAGTAGTAGTAATTGGAGTGATAGTGGTAGTAGTCGTGATAGTAGTAGTAGTGATAGTGGTAGTAGTAGTAGTAGTGGCAGAAGTAGTAGTGATAATGGTGATATTTTGTCTAGAAATTAATGGAAGAAAAAAAAAAAAAGAATAGAAAGTTACACAGTGTGCCTTTAAACAATGAAAAATAAAACAAGTGAGTTCATTTGTGCTTTCCGCTGCCTGTGTCCCGTCTGCACCAGGCCGCCCTGAAGAAGTACCAGATGGAGCACAAGAGCAAAGGAGAGAGTCTGGAGAAGTGCCAGGCCGAACTCAAGAAACTGAGACGCAAGAGTCAAGGCAGCAAGCACCCCACCAAATATGGAGACAAGGAGATGCAGGTCAGTCTGTGTGTGTGTGTGTGTGTGTGTGCTCTACTTCCTGTCACTTACACACTTCTTATTAAAGGTTCACCATGTAACTTTCCTGGTGGGAGATTTGCTACCTGCATCTTATATCTTACTACCTACATCTTATTTGCTACCTACATCTTATATTTATTCAGTTACATAACAAAAAAAACCCTCTACGGAACTGACCTGTGTGCGAGTGTGTGTACGTGTGTGTCTGTGTGTGTGTGTGTGGGTGGAGGGGCAGACAGGGGTCCTGCTGGGGGCGTTTATTTGGCCCAGATGCCCCGCCACCAAGGCCAGATGGAGGGACAATGAGGGAGGATGAGAGACGAAGCCGTTATGACAAAAAGTACAAGGTTAGACCCTGACCTTGTACAAAATCTAAGGCTGTGGTCACACTTACACACACTACATCATTATTGGGACTAGACCAGGACTAGACTTAGACTTAGACAAACTTTATTGATCCACAAGGGAAACTATTTGGACACAGTAGCTCACGCATCACAATATAATATAATAACAATGTGAAAAAATTATAATAAAGTAATGTAAATAATAAATATAATAATAGATTCTAAATAAGTAGCAAAATAAAATAAATAAATAAATAAATATAGCAAGAGACAAGTGTCAAACAAGGTATAATTATATAAATGTAAATGTAAAATCAAAATAAAATAGAAAGATAAGTAATAAAATATAAAATCACAGCTAAATTAAACTTACTAAAGTAAATCTAGACTAAACCTAGAGTAGGACTAAACCAGGACTAGACCAGGACTAAACCAGGACTAAACCTAGACTAGACTAGGACTAAACCTAAACCAGACCAGGACTACCAATAAACCTAGACTAGACCAGGACTAAACCTAGATTACACCAGGACTAGACCTAAAGTAGGACTAAACCAAGAGTAGACCAGGACTAAACCAAGACAAAACCTAGACTAAACTAGGACCAAACATAAACTAGACCAGGACTCAGCCTAGACTAGACGGGGACTAAACCAAGACTAAACCTAGACTAAACTAGGACCAAACCTAAACTAGACCAAGACTAGACCAGGACTAAACCAGGAATAAACCAGGAGTAGATCAGGACTAAACCTAGACCAGGACTAAACCTAGACTAGGACTAAACCAGGACTAAACCTAGATTAGACCAGGACTAAACCAGGACTAAACCTAGATTAGACCAGGGCTAAACCAGGACTAAACCAGACTAGATCAGGACTAAATCTGGACTAGACCAGGACTAGATCAGGACTAAACCTAGACTAGACCAGGACTAAACCTAGACTAGACCAGGAGTAGACCAGGACTAAACCAGGACTAAACCTAAACTAGACCAGGACTAAACCTAGACTAGGACAGAATTTATGGTCCAATCAGAGTAGTGTATTCTGAATACGTGAAATACTTTTACATCAAATTGCATTTAAATTATAGTGCAAAGATAAAACATAGTATTTATTAATACCTTTTCCATTAATCAATAATTTGAGATGGAAAAATCACACTTGCACTCACCACATGAGCTGTGTTGTCTCTTTTTATCACTATTTATGAGCAGTTTGAAGAATAAATCACATGATCAAATACTGTAATTAATTCCTTTAATTTTAGAAAAGTAACCCTATTCTGAATCCAGTCCAACGTTATTTGCATAGCACATTTTACCAACACAAAGTCTCCAAAGTGCTGCACAGAGTGGGCACAATATAAATTAACACATTAAATAAAATAAAGCATAAAATAAATAAGCAAGTCAATAAAAAAACATTTAAAAAAATACTCAAATTAGCAAAAATAGCAAATAAAATCAATAAAAGGCAGTTAGAGGACCACACAATTCTCACGCCTTGTTAAAAGCCAGTGAGTAAAAGTGTGTTTTTAAAGTATATATTCTCAGCACGTGTCTTCACTTACTTCCCAACAACAAAATCCCAAATTGTGTTAGTAAATGATTGAAAATAACAAGTTCAGTATTTGTGAATTTGCCACAAAATATCCAAAAGGTAAAGTACAATGGAATCAATTGGAAAAAACTGACGCTTTCCCCCATCTGGGAGTACGGCATCATCATATTTTAAAATCTGAAAGACTCCAAGTATGAGTGCGCCCTAAAGCAGGAGATCAGACCAAGTGTGAACGCCGCCTGAGACCGCTCAAGTTTGCGTCATTAAAAACTGTCGAGGCAAGTTACTGTAATAATGTTAGAATTCTGTTTTGGAGTCAAGATGATTCAGGCCATTATCATCATTACTGAATGTTTTAGTGAGCGTGGAAATTGCGTCAAAGACATTTTGTTTTCTCAACGCTGGGCTCGATTTCTGTGAAGAATAAGCCGCTAACAGCAAGAGCAGGTGACAAGGGCACACAAACAACTACTAATTATAAGCTTCAGTTCACAAATCAGGATTGCAGTTACACAGATAGGAGATGTCTTTCCTGTTTTGTTTTTTTTTGGATAAAATTTTTAATAATTCATTTTAAGTACTGATCTCATTTGAAGTTATACAAGTTACGGTTTGATTAAATTTTCCCACTTTTACCCAACAGCTTCCACCTATTTTATCTGAAACTGCCTTATGATGAGCACAAAACAAGAGAACAAAATACACAGAAAGAAAGATAAAGAAAAATAAACAATAATTCATGCTAAATATATAAAATCATGCCTAGATATTTGAGAGGAGATAATAATAAAGCATAATTATATAAATGTGCTATATGTACAAGTAAAAAAATCTCTCTATATATTAGGGTGTAACATGTATGTGTAACATGTATTCGTTCAGTTCGGTGCAGGGCTGTGCACGAGTGAATTCGCACAATTTGTGTGTGTTTACATTCTGCCACTACATGGGCAGCTACATGGAAGGCTCGGCTCTTTAACATTCACGACTGGTCCATGATTGGAGCGGCAGTGTTTCCTGCAGCGCTTTATAGTTAGAGCGGCCGCGTTGACAACAATTGCCCCCGGCCTTGACTATGTCCCTCCAAACCACGTAAATCCTCACAAAATTACAGTTGTCGCACCGTGGCCCTCACCTTTTGCCGGCACAGAATCTCCGCCCCCCCATTGTAACTGCAGCAGATCTGCACTTACTGCTGACAATGTGGACAAGTTGGTTTTTCTGGTCAGAAATATGAAGATTGAGTTAAACTTCATGCTGGAACTGTTAGTGCTGCGCTTTACTTTTTGAAAAGTTTTGTTTACTGTTTACAAGGAATGTATTTTTTTTATAATATTTTATACATTTGTTGCTTATTTGAGAAAATTTTATTGAACTTTTTAGTACTACCAAGCAGCACTTTGGATTTATTTTATTTTCTCGTTTGTATAATGTTAAAACAAATAATTGGTTTAAAAACACAAATAAACAATAAGCAAATAGCATTTTGTTCCCAAACTGAACCGAAAATGAACCGAACAGTGACCTCAAAACTGAGATACGTACCGAACCGTAATCTTTGTGTACCTTTACATCCCTAATATATATATAGATACATTTACAGTAATACAAATAAACAAAAAAAAAAGGATTAACAAAATAACCCTGTGCATGTTTGAATTCCTTCTATACAAAATGATTGCAGATCTCCTCCATCAAAAGACATCAGTAAAAATTGCAGTATGATTATGCACCATACATAAAGATCAAACTAAGAGTATCCCTGACGTCTTCTGTGTTTGAATGATACAAAGTAGATGTGTATGGAAAAAAAGCTACAACTTCCTATGGCTATGGTAAAAAAATACACCAAAAAAAGAGCAGAACTACAGAGAAACTCCATGGTCTGGTTGGTATTTTCACGCTTCCCAAAACTTCTCAACAAATCCAGGACAGTAAAATGGTGTTATGATCTCCGGGTCTGACTCACCGCACCGAGAGACGAGCCAGTGGGAGGACTTAATGTGAAAAGTTGGTGTGCAAAGCAATAACTGTAGACTGTATTGTATATAGTACTGGATGAAGTGTGTGGGTCAGTAGTTCTTCCAGGTAGGTTGCGTCTCTGGGCTTTCATGTGGAGGCGTTAGAGGTGGGCGGGGTCAGCAACAGCCAGCTACAATTTGGTGTAAAATAAGCAGATATGACATCAATTCAACCAGAGTAATTGTAACTCATAGTGTATTCCTACTAGGGGTGTCAAATTATCACGTTAATTGCGATGAATTAATTACAGTCATATTTAGCACGTTATGTTTTTTAATCGCGTTAATCTCATTTTTAATCTGTAACTTTAGTGTTTCTGTATGTGAGTTTCTTTATTATAAAACCTGTTTTTATGTGTTGTTGGGACAACAACACACACACACAAAATACATTTATACATTTTTTTATTTCGGTAATTTCACTCATTGCCGGAAACCCACATAAAACATGCGCAGTAACAGCGTAAGTAAACGTCATGTTCACGTTGGCGGCGTCAGTCGCACAATGGACGAGGTCGAAGAGCCAGTAGAACAGAGTCAGCAGCGCACAGGTAAAAACGCATTCGTGTCTTGGAAATTATTCTCCCGACGTGAAATATAAAAGAAAATAACAAATATAAAATCGCCTGAAAACAACCTGCATAGGCTCATGATGTCTGCACTACTGTCCTATAGTGACCTGCCACATGAGGGGACACGCACACGCAAACACGCACACAAAAACACACAAACACACACACACACACAAACACACACAAACAAACACACACCTTCATCATCGTCATTAACCTGAGAACGCGCGGACCACGTTTCCTTCCGTAGTTACTGCGCGGACATCGCTGTCCTCCCGTGAGCCGCGTGTGGATCGTGTTTTCTCGCGTACGCTGCGTAAACCGCGCTTCCTCCTGTGCGCCTCTAAACCAGAACTAACACTAAAACCAGGACTAAACCAGGACTAAACCAGGACTAAAACCAGAACTAAAACCAGAACTAAAACCAGGACTAAACCAGGACTAAAACCAGGACTAACACCAGGACGAACACCA